TCCCCTATTCCCCGCAACGCCACCACCTCATCTTACATGTGTGTCTTACATGTGCCTGCGTGGCTCCACTAATTATAGGAGGGTGGCCCTTCATTCTCTTGTGTGCGGCCGCCCAGGCTCACATCTTAGAAGGAACTATCCGCAGACCACCTGAATGGAGCTCGCAGGTCACCGGTGGTCCACAGACCACAGTTTGAGACCCTCTGCTCTATACAGCTCTTTATAAATTAATTTTGAGTAACTTATTTTCAAATAAGTTGTGAACCTCAGCAGCAATGCTATGACAAACCTTCTACCAGCGATATTCATTGACTTGAACATACTTCAATCTGAAGTGGATTTATCAAAGTCTCTGGATATGTGACTGCAGGCTCATTGCTTTCAAACATTTTATTAGTTTTCTTTCTGAATCCTTGAGGAAAAAGTGGAATACCTTATGCAGTGAACCGGTCAGCAACTCTGGTCAACCTCTGCTGTCTCTCAAAAGGTTTCATTTAAACTGTGAAATGCCTATAGACAACGTCTCATTTAAGAAAATTGCTGTCCCAATAGGAGAAACAGTTGTGCTAGAGTGTGGCTTGGATAAAACCTGGGGTATGTGTAATAATTACTATAGCCATCCAACATTTTAAGTTCCTGTAAAATACATGTAGGATGATAATCAAGCTTAATTCACAATAAAGGGAACAATTCCTCAGATAAAAAGTCTTCATTAAGAATAGTTGTATAATAAATAGATTTCAGATACATTAAAACATTAGAATGTTGTGATTAAAAATTTTTTGGGGAACTTGACTTTCAAACATTTGAAGTTATTTTAAAATATTGATGTCATATTCCACCTCTTCATCCAACAAATGTATGGTGCAGAATCAGTCATACCAGGAAGTGAAGAACAGGTGGTGAATTATAAATCAGTTCATATTTTGGAGGATGGTGGAGGCAGAATAATGTTTCTGGACTGCTTGTAGAGAAATGAGAGGTAACACTGTAGTGTTTTTTGTTCTCACTAGGTAAAGTGAAAGAGGGTTTTTATTTGGATCTGTAACGTGTGTGTGAAGGGGAAAGGGTTATTTTTATTTATTTTAGAAGTGTGGCTACCCTAGGCTTTAACGCATAATAATTCACATTGTAAACAAATTATTCTTGACCCATTAATCAACACTAACCCCTCTCAATATTAACGACATCCATAAGGGCTAAGACTTTTCCCACTTAGCCCTCTCTCTAAGATAGGGCCCAATAAGCAAACACGTTTTGCAATGGTCCTGAAGGTTCAACAAAGATGGGTTCTGACAGATTAATGCAAAAGTAAATTGAAGGCTTCTGGACCCTCCTTTTGAAATGCTTTACCCCAAATGGATGGATGGACTGAGAGGAACTGGAGATATGCCAGCCAATATCTACTTCCAGGGTTGGATACAAAGAGAAAGGCCATCTCTAAAATGTGCAGAACCCAAATCATAAAGGGTATATAGATAAAAATCAATACATTGGCTTGCACCCAAAGATAAAGTAGAAGCCCACGCAGGTTCTGGAACAGATGCATAAGTAGGTCCCCAGAAAGGTATGACAGTAATTAACAAGCAGCCACATGCTGCACCAGTTGAAGTTTCAAGTGGTTGTCAGGAAGATACTGCTATAATGCAATAGTAAAGTATTTCCAATATGAACCAAAAGCATATTGATGTAACTCCAGTAATTTCCCCCTCTATTTTTATAGTATTTACAGTATGGAAGTTTGAAAGACTATGGTCCAAACTGGAAGTGTGGATGAGGTATGGTGGTTTAACAGTAAGGTGGCAGGATATTAGGGTACTGTTGGGGGATAAGTAGAAAATGGGCTTTATTTATTATTTAAGAATTAATGACATCTAAAATTGTTAAAGATATATCAGATATAGTGTCTCTATAAAAATGGCTACCACACTGAAGACTATTTAGCCTTAAGAAGCAACAGATTTACATTTTTAAATATGTATTTCATTATCTTTTTTCATTTCAGAGAATGAAGAAATCTATTGGTGGACACTCCATGGCAGAATTTCCAAGGATAACTGGCTTCCTCATATTAGACAGTATGAAATGAAAAACTTAATAATATACAGTATTGGGAAAACTGCAGAAGGGCTATATACATGTATTTGTAACAGAATGAAGACGAAATCTCTCATCTATGACATATATGTGAAGCAAAAATATTCACCATCCTTGGTTAGAAATGCCAGAGACATCAATGCTGTTATTAGACCAGGAAGAACAGAAGGAGACTTCACCTTGGCAATCTGTCTCTCAGTTCTAATTACGTTTGTTTGTGCTTTTTGTCTTGGTGCTTTCACTAGACCTTACATTGGCAGACTCTGGAGACAAATATGCAGAAAGAAAAGCTCAGCTTCAGAAAATACATTTTCTAATCAAGGATTTTCAGCTGAAACCCTGACAACAGAGAACATTTCAAACACACAAACAAGCGTACAGCAAAATTTGTCTTTTTGTAGTGGAAACTCTTCAAGAAATGTAGGCTCTGACATTGTGGATGCTACTAGCTTGCATAAAGTTGCCCTTCATAACAGAGTACTTGCAATAAATACAGAAGAAGCAAACCAAGATCAAAGCAGCAACTATATCAAAGTAAAGAAAGAAAAGGTGTCTCAGAATAGCCAAGCAACTAATTCTGCTGGTGAAGCAGATATAAACATTGGTAATAATGACATTTTTTCTGCAATGTCAGATCATCAGTGTAGCAATAAAGCCTTTCGAAGAGAATTATCAAATAATGACATTTCATCACGTGATGATTCAAAATACCTTTTTAATGAAGATTCAGGAAAAAGCAGGTTCTCTCCTATAGCGAATAGATTTAACGTGGACTCTTACTCACTCCACATTGAATCTTCAGATTTAAATTCACCATTTGCAAGAGAAACTAACTTTCCATTTTCTGAAGCACAAATACAAACAAACGCACAGAGTTCTGAATACAATGATGTAAACAACAGATCTAATCTGTTGCAGTCTGAAGTTGCAGTCTCTCTTCAGGAGAATACGAGACAAATGACTTCCCACACTCAGCCACTGAATACTCAACAATGTATGCTCAAAAGGCATAACTGTGATAAAGAGCTTGATGTAAATGACAACATAGATATGCTCAATAACAGTGAGAATTTTATTTTACCTTCTAGCTGTGAAAGTGATATAAATATTGAGAATTCAAACACCTACCAAACACAGAAAAATTCTGCTGGTATTCAAGAGTTTGATTGTAAAGAAGAAAATACTAGAAATAAAGACAATCCAGTGGACATGTTTAATGACAGCAGTTCCACAGATGAAGGGTCTGCATTCACACTGAGTGATTCTAGTTCTTTAACAGACAGTGAACTGGGGCAATCTAATGCTGGTGATGATCATCTGACCAACCCGTCAGTAACAGAGCAGGTGATTAGCTTAAACAGTGGTACTGGCAAGTTCACCACATTGCTACAGAGTCCTACAATTACTACTGGATTTCAAGATATTATGGAAAAACATGAAAATAAGAATGAAACATATTCTGAAACAGCTATTATTTCTGGATCAGGTACTGGTATGTCTGAAACACATTCATCTGTTCTTCATATAGATTCATCTCACACTGATATATCTGACATATTTCATATTGATAAGTTTGATGATCATGTAACTCTGTCAGGTTCAAATACAAATAATCCTCCATGTTGTGAAGTTCCTGGTATATTTGAGTATGTTACCAACCCAAATTCACCAGTCCAGAATAAAATTTCTAATCCTGTCTGCAAACAAAATATAAATTTGAATTATGTAACATTACCACCATTAAAGTATTCTCCCAGATCTATTCCAGATACAGAGAACATTATTTCTAAAAACACTTATTTGCAGCTTTGTGAATTTTCTACTTTAACTCAGCATTTTGACAGATCCACCCCCTCTCATCAAAAAGAAAATGTTACTGAGATCAATACAGAAGAAAATCATATAGCTCAGAGTTCTTCCCTGAAGAATTACGGGGAAGATGACATTACATTAAATATAGCAAATATTAAAACTCCTCACATGAACAATAATTTTATATTCACTTCTATTGATTTTGGTTCAAACTGTGTTGCTAATAAAGCATCACTTCTGCATTCCAATATAACTACTGATGAACCATTTCTTCAATCTCATTCAGAGAGCACAGATGAAAAATCTGTTGCAAACATTACTGAGAGACAGGGCACATCAGTGCAAGAGCAACAGCATATGAACATGTCTGGGACTTGTGCACAAAGAATGCATAGAGGTTTTAATGAAAGGGAATGTGATAAATACACAGAACAAGAAGTTTTGTCTGGAATGGATAAAGGCAATTCTAGCTTGTGTACAGCAGAAATGAAGTTTCACAATATTATGACAGATTCAAGCCGTGTTACCTCTTCTGAGACAATGCAATCAGTTTTCAATGAAGAAAAATACCTACAACCTGATCATGAGAGTGAAGAGAATGTATGTTTCTCAACACATCCCCAGAGCTATTTTAATGCAAATGTGCAACATAGTTTATATAAGATGTCACAGAATGCTCAAGGAAATACAATCGCCAGCAGAACCAATTCCAGTGAGACTGAGAATGAAACTTCGTTGGCAGAATTAGAAAACAGTTCTAAGGCAGATGCAATCCTCCAAAATTCAAGCGAAAAACCTGATAAAAAAAATGAAGCCACAAGAGAGCGTCTTTTAACAGAGGGCAGCTTTTTTGTTAAGAAGAAAAAAGCCTTTGATGGTTTTGCAAGTGTTCTACAAAGCAGAACATTGGATTCCACAAAATAAGATGTAGGATGTTAAATGACTGTACTAAGACTCTCTGCAATGTTTATTAAGGGTACACAATCTTACACAGTACACAAGTAAATGTCAAAATGTGCTTAGTTTAAGATGGAGTATGGTTCCTGAATTATATATATACTGATAAATATTGAATATTAAACTTAAAACAACCCCAACCATTCAACCATTGTGCCCAGTTTTCTCAGCATAATTATCTGCCCTGAATTATTTCAGAAACCCATTCTGTAAAACTATTTTAAAAATGAAGGGGGATGACAGTAGTATGACCCTAAGAATTTGCTATATTGTAACTCATATCAGGCCTGACACACTCACTACCCCCAACACACTGCTATCATAATATGTATCTAAAAGGTATCATGTAAGGTATCAGATGTAAACAGGTAAATTGGCCCCAAAAATCAGTGTCTGATACATGCACGAATTGTGTACAAAGAATTATGTGTGCTGGAAGTATGTTCTTTAAAATGTGTTTCGGAAGCAGTGCATACGTTGAGCACGCCCTAGCAAAGGAATATGTATTCCCCTGTCTAATTGGCTTGATTACAAGCAGAGGAAAATGAAAGCACATTTACATATAAGGTAAACAAAGCAACCAAGCTAACAAGCAGCAGTTTAGTAAGCACACAGAGGGACAGAGTCTGCACCCTGATGAAGTCTTCCCAGCTCTAAAGGCAGAGACAATGGACTTAGGGCACATAAATTACAGCACCCTCTGAGTCTGTGAACGTTGGGTCCCCTGGCCAGGAGGGCTAGAGATGCTGGTGGCTGGATGTAAGTGAGAAAGCTGCTTAGGCAAAGATTATAACTTGCTAAAATTAAATTTTACAGTAGAGACCAAATTTTGTTTTGTTTGTAACCAAACCTGTCTCTCTTTCATTTGCCTTGTATCATTTACATCTCTGTTCTTTATTAATAAACTTATTCTTGTTTTATTACAAAGCCATCTCAATGCTGTGTATTAAAGTGAAGTGTGTCTTCAGCTAACTGAACAGATTGGTGTGTATATTGTCTCTTTGGAGGCAGCAAACAATTTTTATGAATGTCTGGTGAGAGGGACTGGACACTACAGAGAGACATCTTGAGTGGAACTCGAGAGCTGGGATTCACTGCTTGCTACTTGCAAAGGAAGGTTTAGACTGGCAGAGGTTTGAGGAGTTTGCTGGTGAAGCAGATAGACAGACGTGGCAGGGAGCTGACACACAGTCTAATCTCCAGCACAACTGACTATTGCTGAAGCTGTGGGGTAACACAGTGGCTTACAGTTCTGTGGGTCCTGAGCAGAACATCACAAGCAGCCATACTTCACTTTTGATTTGCCAGTATTTGGCTATGTCCATTCAAAATCACAAATCTCCAAAGAGCCATGTGTTTTGGCAAAAATAGTGTGTTTTTAGAAAAATTCTTATTCAAAACAAGTAGAACTAGAGAGTCAGCTTTAGTAAGCAAAATGGTTTCAGTGGAATAATAGTAGTAGATAATGTTTTCACCCCCAGCTCAGAGAGAGCCGAGAAGCCTTCTCAAACATGTAAGCCACTCGGTAGCTGCGACTATGCAATAACGTTAAAAATTAGATTAATTTTCTCTTTGCTTCATTTTTAATAGGTCTATTTTCTCTTTAGTATTGGTGCTTAGATCCTAAGGCACCTTAAAAGATATTTTTCCCCTGGAAATTGTCTCCTTGTAAAATATCCTTTATTCTCCTTTGCCTGACAAATGAACATTGTCAGCTTTATTTTTTAAGCTGTTTTAAAGCATGTTTCTAATAGAGAACCAATTCAATAGCAATTATAGAATTTTAAACACATTTAATAGAGTATATTTCTATATAAATCTGCAAACCCCAATATGTTCTGTGAATGCCATTTTGATTGTAAAACTTTTTTGTGCCTTTTGGCACTCCAGCCTCTAACTTGAGCTGGAACATCCAAGAGGTGTCAGGAGAGATCCTTGCACCTACCAGATGGCTAACAACAGAGAGCAATCAAGAGTCATCAGTTTGGATGGTCTTCCATTCAAATGAAAGCACCCTAGAATAATGAGCTGGGTGCAGTCCAGGGAAACCAGTTTTGCCAGTCTGGATTTCAGGTTGTCTGGAACTAAGCAACACATCACTTGATGAAAGCCATGAAGCTACTCAGGGACAGGTGCAGGGTGAGGGTCATCTGACAAAAGGGACTGGAACTTTATAAAAGGACAAGTTCTGCACTGAGCTGGCTCTCTCTCACCAGCCATCCATCAGCAGACCCAAAACAGAAGATAGGACCGGCCAAGAGGTGAATGAGGCAGAAGGATTCTCTGAATTCCCTAGAAGAACACTGATTAAACTTCAGGAGAGCTGAAGAAAGTGAGGCAGGGTCTTCATAGTTTAAGGCCACCAGGGATCATTAGATCACCTGGTCTGACCTGTATATCACAGGCCACTACATTTAATCCAGTTACCCCTGTATTGAGCCATTAACTTGTGTTTGACTAAAGCATAACTGGTTTGGCTGAAGCATATGTTTCAGAAAGGCACCCAGTCTAAATTTGAAGACATCAAGAGACAGTAGACTCCACCACTCTCGTTGGTAGTTTGTTCCAATGGTTAATCACTCTCACTGTTAAAACATTGTGCTTAATTTTTAAATATGAATTTGTCTAGCTTCAACTTCCAGATATTGTTCCTTATTACACGTTTCTCTGCTATATTACTAGATCTGCTATATCTTTAGGATTCTGTATTTTCTCCCCATGAAGATATTTATATATTAATCAAGTCACCTCTCACATTTTCTTACTGATAAACTAAGCAGATTGAACTGTTTATGTCTCTAACTCAAAAGCATTTTCTACAGCCTTAAAATCATTTTTGTAGCTCTTTTCTGCACCCGAATTTTCCAACCTCCTTTTAAAAATGTGGACGCCAGAACTGTATGTAGTATTACAGTATCAGTTTCACCAATGCTGCATACAGAAGTAAAATCACATCCTTACTCCTACACACTACTCCTGGTTATGCATGGAGGGATCACATTAACCCTATTTGCCAGAGCATCGTACAGAGCTCATGTTCAGTTGCTTGTCCACTATGCCTCCTAAATCCCTTTTAGAGAAAATATTGATGAAACCTAGTATCAACCTCTGAGGTACCCCACTGGAAATTCCCCCATTCAATCATGATGTCCCATTAACTAACTACTTTGAGTTCTGTCAGTTAGCCTGTTCTTAATGCATTTAAATGTGTGCTCCATTGCATAGCACTAATTTTTTAATCGGGATGTTGTGAAGTATTAAGCCAAACACTTTACAAAAGTCTAAATATATCTATGCAGTTACCTTTATCAACCAATTTTATAATCTCATCGAAGAATGAAATCAAGATTGTTTGACAAGACCTATTTTTTATAAAACCATGTGGACCGGCATTAACTATATTCCTATTCTTTATCAAGTGAATCCCATATCAGTTTTTCTATTATTTTGCCTGAGATTGATTTTAGGCTAACTGGCTGATAGTTACCTGGATCATCCTGCTTGCCCTTTTAAAATATTGGCACACAATTAGCACTCTTTAGTCTTTGGGAATTTCTCAGGTATTCCATGATTTATTAAAAATTAACACCAGTAAGCCAGAGATCTCCTCAGCCAACTCTTTTAGGACTCTTGGGTGCAAGTTATCCAGGCCTGCTGATTTTAAAATGTTTATTCTTAAACTGGCAATCAAACTAACTTGATATCTTTTTTTTTTAAATGAGACTACAAGTTTAGTTAGTAAAGATAACAGTATTGATGTAGTATAGTAGGACTTCTGTAAGACCTTTGACTTGGTAGTACACATTTTGATTAAAAAAATCAGAACAATACAAAATTAACATGGCATACATTAGATGAATTAAAAACTGACTGATCGGTCTCAATATGTAACCATCCAGTGAGTGTATTTCTACAGGGGACCCAGAGGGATCAGTTCTTGGCACCATGTTATTTAACATTTTTATCAATGACCTGGAAGAGAACACAAAATCATCACTGATAAAGTTTATAGATGACACAAATATTGGGGGAAATAGTAAATAATAAAAAGGACAGGTCACTGATACATAGTGATCTGGATAGTTTGGTAAACTAGGCACAAGCAAATAAGATTTTTTTAATCCAGCTAAGTGTAAACGTATACATCTAGGAATAAAGAATGTAGGCCATGCTTATAGGATGGGGGACTCTATCCTGGGAAGCAGTGACTCTGAAAAAGATTTGGGGATCTTGGTGGACAACCAGCAGAACATGGTGGCCAAAAGGACTAGTGCAATCCTTGGGTGCTTAAAAAGGGAATTCTGAATAGGCAAGTAGACATTATTTCACATTTGTATTTGGCACTCATGCAACTGCTACTGGAATAATGTGTTGAGTTCTGGTGCCCACAATTCAAGAAGGAAGTTGATAAATTGGAGAGTGTACAGGGAAGAGCCAAGAGAATGATTAGAAAACATGTATGATAATGACTGAGCTCCTTGAGTCCATCTATGGCCAGTGTTATTCAGGTCAGACTAGATGATCACAGAAGTCCCTTTTGGCCTTGAAATCTATGAGATGTTGTTTAATATCCTCCTTCATTACTGCTAAACTGGAGTACGTCATCATCCTTACGTGAAATGAGTACAGCATTCCAAACACCAACAGAAATATGTAACACTTCTGTGTTTTCTGCATTGTTATTAACAATTTTACCATTACCATCTAGTAATGGGCATAGACCTGCTTGCACAGTTGTTTTTCTATAAATTTTTATATCTTGTATGCTTTGTCTATGAATAAAGTATGACTGATTTAGAAATTACTTTATATCTGTGTGGCTCTTGCTTTAACTATCATAAAGTAAAACGGTAATCCAGAGTACACGTGAGGGTGTAGCTCTGGAGAATGTGTGCAAAAGCCACTGGGGAGACTTGGGGGGAGGGGGTCAGGACTGATCTTGGGGAATAGGGTAGTTGGACAACAGGGTCCTACATCCCAGGAAGCTGTACCAGATGTTACTTCAGGGGGAATTCTGTGCCACTACACATGGGCAGAATTCATGTCCCTGTAGATTTCTTTGCTTCCCCTAAAAAAAAGACTTTCTGACGGGGAAGCAAAAGGCACCACACGAGCGGTCGCACACCCCTCCCCAGCAGCGCAAGCATGTCGTTTTGGGCACCTGAAGCAGCCATCAGAGGGGTAAATCACTGCTGGGGGTAGGGCAGGGCTGGGGACGGCCCAGTCAGTGGCTCCTACTCTGCGCCGGATTCAGCTGCTAGTCGTGCTGGGACCAGGCAGGACTTCCTCTTCCCCTGCAAGGAGCAGCTGGGGCCGGGTCAGACCCACCCCCAGAAATTTCCCCTGGCTGCGGGAAGCGCCACACCCTCCCCCCCCCCCCGTTTCCTGCCCCCATTGGTCCTCAGCCTAAGGGGAGAGATTACTGTACGAGGAGCTGCTCCCCCATCCACTCAACTCCTGTGCATCTGGACCCCCCCATCAAGCCCTGCACACCACCAAGCCTTACCCCCTGCATCCAGATCCCCATTCCTGCACCCAGACCATCCCCCACTGATCCCTCCACACTAGACTTTCCACCCGACGAGACCCACACCCCTACACTTGGGCCACTCAGATGAGCTCTTTGCATCCAGATCCCCACCCCACTGAATACCATTCAGCTGCACCTGGACCCCCAGCCCCACCAAGCCCTCCCCCAGCACCCAGCCCCTCCCTCCCAGGCCCCAATCACTTTCGCCACTCCCCCCCCCCGCTGAGTCCTATTGCCCCTGCACCCAGAACCCCCCAATAAGCCCTTGTGCATCCAGATCCCTCTGCCACTGGTGCCCCCAATGAGCTGCCTTCA